AGTATAAATACTACACAAGTATTTTACCACAAAAAAAAAATAATAATATTAAACAATGTGCAACAAGATGGCAGATGCCATTAAATGAATCTAAGGGACGAATTTATAGTCGTTCGTTGGAGGTCGTGAGTTTACTTTACTTGCTACTATTTGTGAAGTTATTCATGGCAATTGTCAATTCTAAACATTCAAGGCTCTGTTAAGGTCTGAGGAAACCTCAAAAAGCGACTATAAATTTGGCCCTAAGGCACTGTTCTTCACTTAGAAAGGAGAAATTTCAATTATAGGTACACTGAGGTGACTCCAGTCGAAAAACAGAAAGATCTAGGCTTAACAAAAGACCTCAAATTGGAGTGTCACGTCACATCTCAACCACAGAACATCTCAACAACTGTCAAAAAAATGAACACCTTGATTTACCTTATAAGAGACTCGTTCAAAATCTTATCTACAGTGATATGTGATATGATAATGGAGCATTATAAGAAATACATCAGACCAAAACTAGAATATATACAAAGTATATGGAGCTAAATTGACTACCGCAAGGCATTCGATTCGGACCCTCATGACTGGCTGATGAAAGTACTGGCGATCTACAAGATTTGCCCGAAAGTAAGAGCGGTTAATATCCAAGTCAACAACAACAACGCTGGTAAAGCCAAGATAATCAGAGGTATTTTCCAAGAGACTTCCTTATCACCAGTAAAGTTCTGCCTAGCTTTGAACCCCCTATCTACGATTCTCGACCACACGAACATTGAGTATAGACTTAACACCAGGAAAAGGCCTATCTTGTGTACATAGATGACCTGAAACTCTTCGCAGAAAATCAGACTGGACTGCACTCTCTAATAAACACCCTAAAGACCTTCAGCGGGGCATAGGCATGTCGTTTGGACTTGACAAAAGCGCTATCATTAACATAAAGAGGGGCGTCGTGGAAAGACAAGACCAATTCCAGAATATCGAGAACTTGCAACACGAAGAAACATACAAGTATTTAGGAATGCCTCAGAACTAACCTATCGACCACACGCACCTGCAGAATATTTTCTCCGAGTAGTACAAGAAGAGGGTACTCAAGGTTTTGAACGCCAAGCTCTCGGCTCAGAACCAGATCACCGCTCTGAACACCTGAGCAGATCCTGTCTTGACCTACATCTTCGGTATCCTGTAACGGTCTCATGCAGACCTTAATGAACTTGATAGGCTCACTCGGCGACTGATGAAAAAATTTCGATGTCTGCAGACAAATGCTTTGAGCAAGCAGTGGTCGGTAAATGGCGAACATCTACAACTTATCCAGAACTAAGGAGAAGAATATGCGGCACCAATTACTTAGATCCAAAAATACTCTGATAAGAATAGCAGCCCAAAAAAAACCGAGGGTATACATCGTTGAACCACAACATCATGATCTCGAGTTCGAAATAGGCTCAAGGCAGAAAGATCAAGCCTTCTGGATAGAACAAGACTTACACGGTTACTTTTCAAGAAGTTTGGAAGCGGAAAACGACGATAAAACGACCTGTCTATCATGGCTCGGCGCAGGATTCCTCTATCCAGAAACAGATGGATTTTTCATGGCCATCCAGGACAGAATTATTAGGACCCTTAACTATGAGAATCACTACCTACGCCTTTAGGTCGAAGGTCGAAGTGGTGGGTAATTTATACAGCAATAATATCAACGCAGGCTGTAGATCAATCGCAGATAACGCATACCCAAGACGCCATAATCAAGTGGGGAAAATCATCCACCAACAGCTGGCTCTCAAGAATGAACTTTTTCAATCATATTCACCGTATTACAAATACCAGTCACAAGCAGTCTTAGAAACAGATAGAACGGAACTATATTGGGACAGGCCTATAACAACGGATAGAACAGTGGACTACAACAGACCGGACATCGTCATCATCGACAAGGAGAAAAGGACTGAAATCATCACTGACATAGCTGTGCCGCTATTCCATAACGTCAGCAGAACTGAGGCAGGAAAAGTCACGAAGTACTTGGCAATGGAGCTGACAGCTAACTAAAGTTTCCACAATCCCATTCGTAATTTCGGCAGAAGAAATTTTATATCGAAGAATCTCCTTGAAAATCTTTAGGATATTAGATTATCCTAGAACATCATAGGTTACATTCAGAAGTAAGTTTTACTTCAGAATTGCCTTATAAATCGCAAATTCCTGAATGGATGAATCAATGCATGAGTGAGAGGAACTGAATTGTTTTTTCACCAGGTTGCCCCAGCCTTAGTCATCAGGCTGAATAAATGGTTACCAGCGAAAGCTTAGACAGCGCGAGCAATAGTAATAATAATAAACATGAGAAACAGTATTAGGGAGAGAATTGAGCCTTGGGATACGCTGTTATCTATAAGCAGTGTATTAGATCACCAAAGACCACAATACACAGTGACGTGCCTTCCAAAAAGCTCCCCAGCCAATGGCATAATTCGTCTGGAAGACCACAAGAGGGAAGTCTGCTGAGGAGATCTTTATGTCACACCTGATCGAAAATCTTTGGAGATGGTCCAATGCTACAATTCTAGATTCGCTATGTTTTTCAAGAGTCGAGTTCCATGACTGACGTACGCCAGCTGTTCCCCTATTGATCTTTTAGAACGAAACCCGTCTGTCAGAGTTGAGCTTTTTCACTTCGAGGTATTTAACCAGTGTTAAGTTGGCGGCCTTTTCTATTACTTTCGAAAGTACGGATATAAGTGAGATGAGAAAAACAGTGTTAGGCCTTCCAAGTCTGTAGTTCCATAATGCCACACCCTACGAGGTATTGAAGCAAGAGCTGAGGGTATAACGAACTTCGAGCGGAAATCAATTTGTGGTCTGATTTGCCCAAAGGTGCAAACACATCGATCTTGTAAGGTTCTGGATTGATACACATCGAGTAAGTTACCCTGTTGAGAAACGGAATCAGGAATACGTGTGGGCTCTTCTAACTTCTACGTTAGGCCGTGTAAAATGGCAAATGCTTCAGCAATGCTTCCAGCATGGGTCGTTTTGTTCGAGAACTTAAGCGACTGTGAGTTATGAACATTAAAATCTCTCAACAATATAATCTCGGAGTTCGGATGAGATTCCTGGATATAATCAAATGAATTTGCCAGATTTTCAGATAGCAGTTCATATATGTTATAAATTTATTTAAGAGGGGCGTTTAAATAAAATGTCATTTCATTCACAAATTTCTGTTCAATTCCAAATTTAGACCACTTCTCAGTGAAATGAAGTTATGTTCATAACAATAATAGATTGGAGCATTTTTGGTTGAAAAATACGCATTCTAAATAGTGAAATTTTCACCAATTTTGTTGACAACAATATGCAAATTTTGGTCACGGATTTAAATGAAAAAGGGATAAACACATAGAGTAGCACACCAACAATAAATTTCCAAAATTTCGGATCATAAAATGCTGGAAAAAATGAATAGAACAGAATTTTCGAAAATTATAATGTTTGTATCACAAAATTAATCAAAATCTGCCAAACAATGAGGTGATTGCTGCCATTTTCAGCAAAGACTCAAACCAAACGTGCGTTCAGCGCTTCTCTAAAAGATGTCGCTGAGTTCGGGAAGGGTAGTCACTTCTTTTAAATGCCAGTAAAAACTGTTTTACCTACATAAAAATGTGAAATACTATTATTTCATTTGTATGTCATAAAGCCCAAAAGATGGCGCGCTGGCTCTTATCTGACGCCCCTCTTAACTCCATGTAATTTTGCAATAGATGCGCCGTTTAAAAACTGTTAAAATATTTTAGGACCACCCCACGCTAACAAATGCTGCGCATAGCTGAGATAATGAGCACCATTCTGATGAAAGAACAAAATATCGAACGCCTATGAGGGGTCAAAGTAAAGACCCCCTACAATATAGGTACCTTTTCGGTTTAATTAGTCCACAACTCAAGATTGCACGCTGAGAATGACATGTTTATCCAAATCCAATTATCATTGAAGTAGTTTAATTATAATGTGAATCTCTCAAAATTGGTTGCTAGGCATTTAAGTGTTACTAAGACTTTAGAGTGCTTCTTTGATAAAACGATTCCGAACTTAATAAATTATATTACTATAGCTGCTGGCAATAAATTTATCCTTATAAAATTGTTTGCCGGAATCGATTGGTGGGTTGAGCGAAATAAAATCGGGTCAAGTCGCGCTCACTTATAAAGCTACAAAGCTCGTTAAGCAGCTCTTAAACGTTTTCGGAAGCAGTGGCTCATATCCGATCAAACAAGAGTACATGTCTTAAATTGAGTAACATAATACAACCGAAACTCCTCAAAGTGTGTAGGTTGTAACGTAAGTGGAACGCAGGAACGGTAACGATAAGAATTAGATTAAAAGTTAAATGGGCTCTTAGCGGATTTTTGAAAAGGTCATTAGATAATTAAATTACCAGGGGGAAGTTTTGGGATGAAGTTACGGGTAACTTAAAACCTATTTATTAGGATGATTTGTGACTATTTGCCAACAACAACTGAAATAGAAAGCTAATACATATAAATTGAGGTTGGCTCTTTATATTCCCAGCCTATTTGCGGTTTTTTGATGGCAATTTGTTTGTTTGGACAAACATTTGCGGTGCTAATTCACAACGGCGTTTATTATAATTTGGCCATTAAATCAAATTGTTAATGGATGTTGGCTTTTGAAATATTATTGCCGAACCAATATTTATTTGAACTTTCAATATTTTCATTTATTTTTTCGAGAGCAAAAAAATTACAGTTTAAATATGAATTTAACGAACCCTAAAATCAAAAAATTTAACAGGCTTTGAAAAACTTATGTTTGTGTTAACTTAGGCTGATGCTCTGCACACGTTGTGTTTGCTTTTTTAGTATAAAAATGTGCGAAAAAAATTACATATACATGAAACATAGCTGTCTTTCTTTGTAACTATTCTACCAATGATTTCCTAGATAATTGATTTAGTTTAAAGCAAAATAAATAACGCTTACCTATACTAGTATCATAGGCGTGCAAGTATTCGCTAGTCATAAACTGCGATACTAAGGACGATTTACCAACAGCCGGACCTCCAAGCATCAGTACCCTAAATGGTACTGGACCCGGTGCTGATGTGGAACTTTCTCTCGAAGAAGCTAAACTACATGATGCTGAGGTTCTTGCCGAACCCGCAGCGGAAGTTGGTCCCGGAAGTTGTTCGGTACTGAAACAAAATAAAGCATATAATAAAAGGTACCTACCTACAGTGTTTATGGTACTTTCGAGGTCACAAATAAACCGAGTATGTAATGTTTGGTTTTTTCAATTTTGTGTATTTTCCGTGTAATATACGAAGTTTCTGCTCGAGTAATTTTCGTTTCCGAAATTGTTGATGACAGCAGCCAGCAGCAACTAACCCAAGTATTGGTGGAAAGTTGTTCATCAGGAGTCAAGGAGTCAAATCTCCGTAATTATTATATCTATACTTTTTGAGAAACTGTAACATGCTAAATGTTACTGTTTTTTTTTTTTTTTTATAAATTATCTAATTAACTAAATTGTCGCCTTGAATGCTGACCGTCTGATGACTGCCATTATCAAAAGAAGGTTTCTGCCGCCAATAATAATAACAATTATTAACCTAGAGGGCACGCTTTTCGTTTAAATTTGAAGTACCAGCTTGGTACCAACACTTTGTTAGCGTGTCCTATTCTTCGACCCTTCTAAATTTTGACTTCCGAACTGAAAGGTTGATCCTGACCCGGGAGCAGCCACATTCCTAAGTGGAATATCGATTACCTTTCTCGTGGAAAAAAGTACCTTATCAGGCACTAGTTTAACGAAATAAAGTTGCGTAAGGCAAAGTTCCGTTGATTAAAGAAAACTTTTAAATAATGAAAAATCTTATGATTACCGTTTTTTTCAAGTTTAAATTTCGAACCCCATCGTGGTAAGTTCTTTTTTTTTTTTAAGTAATGATTGTTTATGAAATGCCTCTATTACTTAGGGTCTTTCGAGGAGCCAGTTTCTTTTGAGCAGCCCATTTCTTTTGAGGAGCCCGTTTCAAACGAGACCGCACATTTCTAACGATCCCCATTTTCGTGGAGCATGGGCATAGAGCTTCTGATAAGAATTTCCTAGAGGTTCACATTTGACGAAAACTGTGAACTTCTAGCCTCTATCTACCTTGATTCATGGCTAGAATCTGCAACTTCCCTCGTCAAGTGACAGAAAATGGACGGCTAACGTACTCCAACGTTTTCGTTGGAATTGAGGCTTGTATAAAGTTTCATCAATACCTAACTTTTACCTTTTTTATGAAATCTATTTTATGATCAATTACATAATAAATTGAACTTTTTTAACTGATATCATATTTGGATGTTATTTCTACAAATCTTAACTTTTGAAAAAGAGTTTGCTGAATAAAGGGTAAATGTTGCAACCATGTATTGCTCTGTGCAATGCAATTGATGAGAACGAGAGAGCGCTGCAACGGAAAGGTACCGAAGCGTACGAAGAGGAAGTAGAGAAAGAGGCGATTAGGCATTAGACTAGATAACAAGCTGGGCTGGTCCTTTAGGCGCATGTCTGTAATTATTCATTATTCAATTTTCATTTTTATTTTGAATTAAATTGATTGTTCAATCCAATTTGTTATTAGTATGTGTTTCAAGGAGCGATCACAGATTAGTTGAATAATTGTTATTTTATTTTTGAGAGTTCAATTATTTATACAAGTATCTTTTTTTCATTTTTATGTTTTTTTGTTTGTTTATAACATGTGCATTGTTCATGTATTTAACAAAAATCGTTTCATGCTGTAAACAACACAGAAAAAGAGTAAATAAACCTAAGAAATTAAGTGCTGTCTTTTTGTGCTGACATTTTGGTTTTGTGTATTCAGAACGTGCATTAGGGCCTTGTTGAATTTACTAACAATTTCCTACCCTGACGAGCGAATATCCTACCAAAGAAAGGAAATAGATATTGGCTCAGATAAACAACTATAGCTGAGTAGCATCCCGTATGGGACCTCAGTACCCTCTGGCGGACCGGCTAACTAACAAAAAAACTCTTCAGTATTGATTACAGGTAGTGTTGAATGAATGTAGTGTGTGTAATTAAAATTTTAGCACAAGAACAGGGGCGGTACCTAGTTTCAACTTTTATTGAATTAATGACTCATAATAATTATTATTGGAGTGACACAGTATGTTTCGATTTTTGAGGAATGTTAGATCGAAGGTTTCTCTGCCGTGCTCTTTCCCCTCGCTAGTTCCAGGATGAGAACGGTACGATTTACTTTAATAATAAAGTAGACGTGCCACAAATTTTTCGTTTCTTCTACATATTACAACCCCCCTTAAATTCCCTAATATTTGCTATGTCGGGCGCATGTCCAGTAAGTAAAATTGAGTAAGTTTCCACAACGTAGGTCCTATTTGTTTTTCATTTAATTTTTCAGAAGATTTGTTCTTTAAGGTAATAAAAATTCTCATCGTTCAATCTTACTGAACGAACCCGGGTATGTTATACTACAGAAACTTTTAGGGCCAGTTTCACAATAGTTGGTTAACTATAGGTTATACTAGTTAAATAAAAAATGGTGTTTTATAATCAACGGTTACCTCAAAAACTTGTAGTTAACCTACTGTCAAATTAACCTAGGCTTGGACATGAGTTAACTATACTGGTCAAGCGACACAAAGCGGAAATTCTGTTCAATTTGCAGGTTAGATAATTTTTCATGTCAGTTTTGAAAGTTGGAAAACGTTACTTTTTTATGTAAATAATCCGAAAGGACAATTACGACATAAATGCGTATAGCAGCGATGAAGAAAGCGCGAAGACCAAGAATATTTAGGCCTAGAATTGATTATTAGGAGGAGTAGGATGAATATGATTTTGTCAGCCGATTTCGATTACCACCCAGAACAGTTATTGAAACAGTACTACCGCAGATTGAGCATTTCATTGCTCATTCAACACACAGGTGAAAATTGAATATCCCCTTATATTCAGAATGTTTTATTATCATTCTATTTTTTTCTTTTAGAAACGAGTGTCTTTTACCTAGTCAACAGCTTTTACTTACCCTTAATTTCTATGCCAATGGGTAATTTTTACGTATTGCAGGAGACCATCAGGGGGTAAGAAAAGTAACTGCTTTACGAACTCTCAGGAGGGTCAGTCAAGCTATTGCTGGCTTGAGACAAAATTATATTCAGATTCCAGCTGCTGAAGAGAGTGAAAGTTTTTCAATTTGGCTCGATTTCCAAGGTGTATAGGGCCCATAGACTGCACCGACGTTAAAATTCAGTGCCCAGGAAGTGAAAATACGGAACTGTTCAGAAACAAAAAACAGTTTTTCTCATTCAACGTTCAATCAATCGCAGACGCAGATCTGAAATTTAGGGACTTCGTTAGCAGATGGCAAGGTTCAGCCCATGATGCTCACATATTCGAAAATTTAGTTCTGTATGCTTATTTAGAAAGAGAGACCAGTTTGGTGACAATGTCATTATAGGAGACAGTGGGTATCCAGTGAAACCTTACTTGCTAACACCCCTACGAGCTGTAAGAAATGAAGCTGAAGCCCTGTACAACGAGTCTTTAATGAGGACGAGGAACGTATTTGAAAGGAAATATGGAGTTTGGAATAGTTTATTACATACCGAGGTGGGAAGTGTTTGATCGCTCGCTCGAGATTATAGTTAAGTTCAACGCTTCGCGTCTCAGTTAACTAACTAATCTCTCGACAGTGATGGAATTTTCTACCGAGGTTTGTATACTATGGGAATAAGGTTACGAAATTTGGACACGGTGCAAGCTATCATTGTAGCAACTGCCATATTACATAACATAGCTTGTGATGAGAATGATAGCTTCCCCCTATGGACCGTGCACTAGAAGCAGCAATACAGTTTGTTAATAACATGAGTGTCCCAAATTCCTGCACCTAATTTTCCTTTAAAACCTTCACATTTTTTCTCCCGTTAAAGGTACATTGCGAAATAAATTGCTCCTCCACCAATTTCCAAGTGTTTTCCTTTTCTCTCCAGAGGCAATATTCTTGACTTTACCTAGGTAGACAATTTGACATTGTTAACAGTTAATGCACTGTTTAATTGTCAACACAGTCAAATTTTCTCTCGAGAGAAAGTCAAGAATAAAGCTTCAGGTATGGAAGTAGCTTCTTTTGTTTCTATTATCGATTTGTGCTTTTCTATAAGTGAAACCGAGAGGTAGGTCTTTTTCTTTTGAGAAGTTGGCAGATCTTTTCTCATTAGTTTTTTCCATATTCCAACAAACTAACAAATAAGAATAGTAATTACTTTATTTACAATCAATTTTTACACTGAATATTTTAGGTTATTGCGACTTGACTTCTCCTTTTCAGGTCAAAATCTGTCAAAAATCGTTACCTATTGTAAAAATGAAAATCTAACCAGTGGTTTCATAACCTTCGGGAATATTTTCTTTGTGAAACAAGACTTTGACGAAAGGGTATGGTATATTTTATTGGTCATAAAATTGTGCAACTTTGCCATAATTTAACCAACCTCGTATCTCTAATAGTTTCCGATATCTCAATGGCCACCCTCGAATTTGGGACACCCTGTACAGTCAGCAAATAAAGTAATGTCCCAAATTAAAAATTTATCAGTTTTTAAAAAATAAACTGTTTAAAATATTTATGTAATTTTTTGTTTAACATTAGTTCTATATAGTTGGTCATCAGCTGTAATAAAAAAAAACTATCGTAGTCAAAAGATTCTGTTTTTGAGGCCCGTGAATTTTTAATTATTTGGGACATTACTTTAGTTGCTGACTGTACATTTTATTAATCATTGATCTGAACTGAATTTAAGGTTGAATAATATGTTCTAAATTTAAATTTATCAAGTAAGTACCAACATCGTCAAAAATGGGGACATTCACCACATTTGAATTTCATTATTTTATTATTTTTAATCAATTGTATTAACCAAAATAAAAATACCCTTGCTTCCAGTTTATGTTTAAGATGTCCTATTTTTTTTAAAAATAATTTTCGAAAATGCTGTTTTCATCCCACATATTCGAACGTAATGGAATGGCGCCATTGTATGACGTATATACACATTCCGACCAATAAGAATCGTTCACAATGGCTCTGGTGCACATCTCATATGCTTTCCTTGTCTAAGCTCTGAAGAGTGACAATGATAAAACTCCTCATTCGGTATTTGCATCTTGTTCATTTAACGCTGGTCAACATAACCTACTTGACGTTAGACAGTGCAACGTTGCCAAACTGAATGTCGTGATTCCTTAATACTAAAATGATGTGGCATAAATCCTTTTTCAACACTAGAAAAACTGTTGTTCTACAACTAAACCTACTAACAATTGAAAAATTGCGTTAATTTTATAACTGTAGTCCAAAATATACAACAAAAAACTTTTTCTACAACTGTCAAAAAATGATGATGTTCGCACACTCATGACAGTTTGCGAAGTGACACTTTTTTTCTCAGGTATTGATTTTTTAACATTCCCATGACGCCGTGCGCGAACTAGCTATTTCGTACACAAGTGCGCGAAATAGCTAGTTCTCACACTGGTGTCATGGTGACACATACCTGTCAGGAAACCAAAAATAATTAAAATTGATTGAGAATGCAATTCTGGCTTCGAATGATCGATATTTAGATGGAATTTTAGAAAAAAATATTGTTTGCAACTCGGGCGCGAAATACTTTGGTGATCTCGAATATTTTTTTGCATTTCGCGCACTAGATACAAAAATAACTAATGCTAGGATAAAAACGAGGTTTCTAGAGGCAATCTTGGAAATCAACAATGACAACGACAATCTGACAACGTACTTATTTGCAGTATATTTTTCCTAGTTGTAGGAGCTGACGTCATATTTGGCGGGTTTTCTGCGGCGTTTGAAATGCTGCTGAATTTATATTTTTTATTAAAAATTAACGGCAACTCAAATGTTCCCCAAAATAGTGTTAATATACTTAGTTTGTGTTCTAGAATTAGAAAAATAAATTTAAAAATAACACTAAATATCCCCATTGATCAATTTTTCATCTGTGTCCTATAACTTATAGGCCAAGCAATGAAGGAAGTTTACCTCAACATAATTAGAAGTTAACATTTTTTGGGGGGGACCGGTTCATTTTCATGTGCTTAATAACATATTAAGTTTGCGACCTTGTACTTCCATAGGGTTTTTAGTTAGGGGTGGTTTTTAGGGGTAATTTGCGGTTTATGGAGAACGCTGCTCAAAAGGATGGGCCAATAGCAAAAAGTTTCAAATGAATGTTGTAGCTGAAGTTTTTTGCTATAAAAAAACTCAGCGACAGCACCCTCCTATTTTCTACAGTTTTTTTTCTGCAGCGTCTTGAATACCAGCATGTTTTTATTCAAGGTCACTGAATTAACGTTTTACCTGTTTGCGCGCGTTTGATGCAGCAGCGGCTAAATGCATAATCCGATTTCAATTTTTCAAATACCACATTATTGCTAATGAAATGCACTCTCCAATGCTTTTTTGTTCGAATTTTTTGCTTGAAAATTAAGCGAGCACCGACTTGGCTAATGTGCGAGGAAGTTGTAAATTGCATCGAAAACAACCCCTTTCTTGCATTCACTGTAATTTCTAAACAGGGCGAAATATTTGGTGACAGTTTTCGACACTCGGCAGCCCATTTATTCCTCTCATATTGCCCCAGCGGATTTTTTTTTCGTTACTTACTCAATGACTTATTGGCCTGAACACGTCGCGCGGAATTTTTCAAAAAGTCGAAAAAAATTAAAATTGTCGCACGGCGCTGAAATTTGGTAACTTCTAATTATGTTGAGGTAAACTCTCTTTTTAGATCCCCGTTTCTTGGACTATTATATATTTGAGGATTTCTATTTTATTTCCTGTATACCTCCACCATTTAACCTAACCTTTTATTTCATACAGGTTTAATTTGATTTTACTGAATTTATTTTTCAAGCAGAAGCTGACCATATTTATCCGCACAAAATTACAATTTTCATTCATTATTATTTTTTTTAAATTAAATTTTCTGGAAACTTAAAGCTTTCATTTCTTTTTCATGCTAATGATATGACCAGCGACTGTTAACTTATATGGCAACTAAGTATATTGATGTGCAATGTGACATTTTTTTGGAGTTTGATGAATCTGATTGAGGGTTAACCTCTATCTATTCATTTTATTTAAAGTGTTGTAAAACTTCTGATTTCATCTTTTTAAATTTTACTGCTTGACTTTTAACCTCACTGTGAATCTGATATCACCGTGGAAATATATACTGTTTTGATTTGTCAAGACATGGTTGAGTTCTATGCCTTATTTATTTCCTTTTCAGAATCATCAATTACCTTTTGCTAATTAGTTTTTAGGTGTGCTCTTGAATTTTCACACTTCAATATTTTACGTAATTTGAATTATTTATTTTCACAAATTCAGTGGCGCCCTTGCCATTCTGTACTTATTTAACTATTGACCCCCTCCCCCCTAATAATTATTCGCTGAGCAAACTGAGCATATTATGGGACCCTTGTTGATTCGTTAACAAAACGGGTTACAAAACTCTTCATTTCTCTGGCTTAAATTGCATATTTGCTCTTATATCAGGAACCATATATAAGTTTACAATGATTGTAACAAACTTAACTGATTATAATCCTGAGCTACCGTCTCGGATTATTAACTTCAGCCTCGGCAGTTATTTACTATTAATTGGCCTTGTGACGATGATAACCATCAACTTAAATTTATTTAAATGTATCGAGAATAAAAGTTATAAAGTTGTGGAGTCACCGCAATATTACTGAATAATTATGGATTTGAATTATAATGACTAAAGTGATTTCTGACGCCTTAATTCGGATCGCAGACGAAACGATCTTGCCACGATACAAACGAGCGAAACGATGAAAATCTAATAACGATAAAAGCGTTTTTACTCACTCATTCCCCAAACTTTGGTTGACAAGAGAAATGGGCTTTTACCGACGTTTTAACTCGATTTTGAGGGAACGCGACAGCGTGGTTCTCGCTCTGGTTTTGTAACTTTAAGCCTGATTCAGCTTTAGTTAGATTTTATTGTTCGTGTTGTGTTTGTTTTTTATTTGTAATGAGCCAAAGGATTTTGGGAACAGAAACGGAATACTACGTTTACGTAAAATTCTAATTAAAGGCCATGCGAACTCGAACATTAATTCTTAATAAACCACAGCCCACTTATTGAACATTTTATTACCCTATCTCGATCTTTCGGTGAAACATTCAAAACAGCTGACGTAGCTCATAAATATGTATGGGCACAATTCGAGACAAACGAGATTCATTTTGCGAATAATAAATTAGGATTTGAATATTTTTTTATGTTCCTCGGAATAAATGGAATTTGAAATTTAGCGCCCTACTTTTTTGATTTTTTTAATATTGATTCAAGCGAAATGGAAACTCGAAATTAAGAAAAACAAATTATTATTCGAAAGCAAGCTTATATGGGTATTTGTGATAAATGAAATCGAAACTTGAAGCAAAGTCTAGACTTGAAGGTTTTTGTCAGTCAGACCTTAGAGTTTCGATATCTCCAGGAAAAACAAAATTCTAGATTTATTTCTACGGTCCCATTGAAACTTGTCAAATCTTTATCCCGATGAGACTTACTGTTTTCCATTTATCGGTGCATAGGGACGATGCCTCTTTAAAAATTTCAAAATTTTCATATATGTATGTCTCCAAAGTTGAGGCTTTCAGGGCTTATATTTATCCTCAAGTTACTTTTTCTAGGGCTCATTCAGCCATTAAGCCCGAGGAAAAGTATCTTTAGGATGAATATAATAAGTTCAAAATAGTTAATATTTCGTGATTGTAAGAGAGTGTATTATCCAAAGAAGCCCTTTCTATATATGGTTCTCTGAGCCAGATAAGGAAATTTTGCATAGAACCCCCCTACCAAAATTCCTTTTGCTATTCTTGATGAGTTTAAGAGGGAATTAGATCGTTTGGTAAAACTAAAAGCCATTGGTAAAGTAGATAAAATTGAACACGAAGTAAGTAACAGAATTGTCATCATAGAAAAATCTAATGGCAAAATTATATTATGTTTGGATTCTTCAGATATCAATTCTCAAATTGTTCGTAAACCTAAACTTGGCCTTGGAAATTCCATCTAAATTAAGAAACAAAAATTTTTCACCGTATTAGATGTTGCTTAAGGGTACTATCATTTGAAATTAAATGAAAGATCTTCTTGAAAATGTTGTTTCGCGACCCCATTTGGCGTATATAGGTTTATTGTATTGCCTTACGGTTTGTCAAACTTGCAGGATTATTTCCAATATGAGGTTGAGAATCATTTTTCAGATCTTAAAAATAAAGTTATTATGTCACGACGACATCATTATTTCTGGGAAAACTAGGCAAGAGAATGACGATGCTATTGATGAATAGGTTAAAAAAGCAAAAAATGAGCAAATGTAAAATTCAAAAAGGAAAAGGTAAAATATTCAAAATAAAGTCAAATTCATGATACAACTGAATATTTAAGAATGCTTAAAAGCCCTGGAAATAAAGTAGAATTGCAAAGTAGTGATTGGTTCATTTAACCATGTTAGGCGCTACGTTAAAAGTATGTCGGAAATAATGCATCCATTATGTGAATTGCTATAGTCCAATGTAGAATGGGCATGGTTACCTAAACACCAAAAAGCTTTTGGAGATTTGGAAGTAATTATTACAAACTCGCCAGCTCTTGTCCCGTTTGACCCAAATCTAAAAACTGTTTTGCAGAGTGATGCTTCAAAAAATGGTGAGGAAAACCACCTATTTAAAATAATATTTCTTAAAATCTTAACTTAAAAAAAAAAAAACATTTACTGAATAAAAGTAAATGTTGCAACCATGTATGCGCCCTCAAGTTTAGGATTGAACCAGCGCGCCACAGAAAACGAAGGTACCGAAACCGAAGAGGAGACAGAAGAATTGGCATTACACTAGAAAAGAAGCTAGACTGTTCCTTTAGACTCGTGTCTGCAATTATTCATTATTCAATTTTCATTTCTATTTTGCAATAAAATTGATTGTTCAATCCAATTTGTTATTAGTGTGTGTGTAAGGAGCGTTCACAGGTTAGTGAATTAAATGTTATTTTGTTTTTGAGAGTTCAATTTATGCAAGTTCCTATTATTTTGTTCATTTTTATGTATTTTTTGTTTGTTTATAACATTTTTTATAACATGTGCATTGTTCATGTATTTAACAAAAATCGTTTCATACAGTAAACAACACAGATAAAGAAGTAAATTAGAACCTAAGAAATTATGTGCTGTCTTTTTGTGCTGAGATTTTGATTTTGTGGATTTAGAGCGTGCATTAGAGCCTTGTTGAATTTACTAACATTTTCCTACCCTGACGAGAGAATATCCTAACAAATTGAAATAATCAATCTAGAGATATTGGCTCAAAAACAACTATAGCTGAGTAGCTTCCCGTATGGGACCTCAGTATCTGCTGGGAAACTGGCTAACTAACAAAAAAAACTCTTCAGTATTGAATATAGGTAGTGTTGATTGAATGTTGAGTGTGTAATCAAAATTTTAGCACAAAGACCAAAGACGGTACCTAATTTAAACTTTTTTTGACATAAATTATTGAATTATTGACTCACAATTATTATAAAAATGACACAGTATGTTTCGATTTTTGAGGAATGTTAGATCGAGGGTTTCTCTGCCGTTCTCTTTCCCCTCAAGAATTCCAGGTCGAGAACGGTACGATTTACTTTAATAATAAAGTAGACGTTTCACAAATGTTTCGTTTCTTTTACATATCACAACTTCCCTTAAATTTCCCAAATGTTTGCTATGTCGGGCGCATGTCCAGTAAGTAAAATTGAGTTGAAAGGTAATAAAAATTCTCATCGTTCAATCTTTCTGAACGAACCTGGGTATGTTATACTACAATGGATTAGGTTCTTTTAGGTTCCAAGAATGTTTTAAAGTTAGTGGCTTGTGCTTCAAGGTCTATGAATGATCATGAACTAAATTATAGCCAGACAGAAAAAGAACTTCTCTCAATTTATTTTGGAACTGAAAAATTTCACGATTTCATATGTTGATGTACAATCTGATCATGAACCCATCTTTTCCATAATAGAAAAGCCTATCCACAAAATTGGATCAGTTAGATTACAGAGATTACGACTTAAACTCTGGAAAAATGGACAGTTCGCAGATATGCTCTCGAGATCAAGCTTACAAATTAAAGGCCCATTTGATCATGAAATGTATGAAATGGTCCATTCAATATCAAAACATTTACCTATGAGCCAGGAAGAAAAGATCAATTCCGACTTGAAACTAGTAAAGACTCGGTATTATTCAAAATGTTTCAGTATTACGATAATGGCTCGCCGAAAGAAAGACACATATCTGCCGACTATTAATTTGACTACACTTTAAGAGAATCCTTATATGTTGAGTCTGGTATAATTTTCATTGAAGACAAAATTGATGATGATGATGATGATGAAGTTATTACATAAAGGATATATTATTATTGGCATAAGTAAGACAAGACATAAATAAAGCTCGAACATTATTTTATGTCATACCAATACATTATTGTCTTTTTATACCTTAGATACCATCTACATAATTCATTACTTTATGCCCGTGCGGGCATAAAGTACACATTATGGCCCGCGCGCGCATAAAGACGCAAAAAACAGTTTTCAATTAACTTATTCTTTATTAACAAAATATAAATTTACCCTTATAAACATATTATTTTTGTCAAAAAATGATGATGTTTGCACACTGATGACAATTTGCGATGTGACACTTTTTCCCAGGTATTTATTATTCACAACCAACTGGTATGACATAAAAGTTTGTATGCACCACGGGTACTAATAGATATATATATATACCCTCGGGCGACTTACGAACCCTCGGGCCAGAGGCCCTCGGCTTTGTAAGACTGTCGCCCTCAGGGCATAATCATCTACTTAGTACCCTTGATACATAAATAACTATTATTGGCCCAATCTGTCTAATGACATAATAAATTTCATCAAGAAATGTCGCGTTTGTGAAAAGCACATGCCTGCTAATTTGAAGGAACCTCTTATGTCATATAGTGTCCCAACTCACAGATTTTGTGAAGTTGCTGCAGATATTGTGGAACATGTTGATTCTTGCTCCCATTCGCTGGAGCTAGTATTTATAAAAGATAGCACCTCTGAATTGTTTTCAGGATATTTTTACCCGCTTTTGCTTTCCTCAATTTATAGTAGCAGACAATCTAACTTTTTTGACAAGCCGTTGCGAAAAATATTACAAAGACAAAGATATTGTTATAACAACTTGCTTTCCTCATTATCATCACAGTAATGGCATGGCAGGAAAGGCAGGATATAAACAAAGCAGAAATTTAAGATAAAGAACTTCCTGTCAGTGCCAAGATATTAGAACCTAAAGTTCAAACAGGCATTTATGAAAAACGTGTAAAGCAAAAACAAGTTATGGAAAATAACTTTGACTAGTCTGCAGGTAGAAAACCGTTAGACTACAAAAAGGGAGATAGGGTGGTGATTAAAACACCTGAACAAAACATTTGGCAAAAAGCAATTGTGATTAAGAAAGCTAGTGAACCTAAGTCTCATTGGGTTAAAAAAGGAAACAATGAAAAAGTTGTAAGATGCAGTAGACCCCATATGAAACATTCTTGCACTAAATCTGATTATGAGTTTCTCTGTGAACCCGATTTGTATCTCAACAAGTACGAGAACAATATTGTCCGCATTCATCCTAATAATATTGCAAGTCCTCAAGTTTCTGTTTATAATACTCCTCGCTCTGTAAGATCTTTTAATAGTAGTTATGAAACACCACTAAATTCAGCAAGTAGTACAGATTCAAGTACGTCAAGACTTATTGATTATGGTTCAGAATATAGTCACCTTTATGAGACAAGACGTAATTATCGCTCCCGATTTGGTGGCCCAGTCCCCTCCCCGGAAACTCAATCTTTGAGGGGTGTTACGAGAAATTTATGATTTATGTAACGTGTTTCATCTCTTCTTATTTTCATTATAAAGTTGTATTTTTGCCATTTCAGAATCAGCAAAATAATAATTCCTAATTTAAGTAACCTAAAAATATCCACAAAGTTCAATATAATATCAGTACTGCCATCTATCCATCATCAACAAAATAATAGATTTATTTTTCAAAGTATGATTTTAATTATTTCGCATTTGACAGTACCTAAATTGTATTTTCATTTAAAGAGATTATATTTATCCCACTTTTAGCAAATGGATATATTTTTGTCTTTCTCTACTTCTGATTCTGTAATGATTATTTTTGGCCTAATGACCTAATTAATTAGCGGTTTTTTGTTTTCAACATAACCTCAATTTAAATTATTGTAATTTGTAAACAATTAAAATAATTCTAGTGGATTATTATCTATTCTCTTTTAATCCACGTGGTATTTCATTGTGAAGTGAATACGGTCTTTTGTGCGTAGTTTTCTGATTGGTTGATCTAGTTAATACGCAGTTAAGTATAAAAAACATAAGATTGGTTTCCTATGGGATTTGGTTTCTAAAACGGTCTTTTTCTCTGACAGTGCTCTGGCACGCAGTCATTTTATTTTTATAATTTTTCCTTCACATTTTTAGATTCTCCTTCTTAAATTTTCAATTTATTTTGCTTAG